CAAATTAAAACACGAGTTCTGCCAGAAAATATTTTTATTWATTTTTGCATCTTTAATAAACTATTATTTTATCATTTTTCATAGTTGTCTTTTCTTATATTTACATCTCAAAATATGTTAATATTTTCTATTGTCAAGTGATCATAGTGAATCCACAGACAATGCTTGGTATTCCTTAAGGCTGATTTACACGCCACGATTGTCTCGTGCGATTTGTAGTATACGACTTGAATAGCGCAGTGTAAATGCCCCTACGACTTGTCTACAACAGTCGTACGCAACCTACGACTTGTAGTAGGATTTTGAACCACTGCTTAAAATCCTACGACTTGTAGTAGGAAAATCGAATACTACAAGTCGTACGCGACAAATCGTACCGTGTAAATCAGCCTTTAGTGATTTTCAGTGATAATTACATCGAATTTGACTGAAGAGGATTTGGGTCACTCAGAAATAGAAACATGTAAAGGCATGAACATAAATGATTACAACATTTCTGATTGTTCAATGGAAACTAAAGCACTTGTGTGTACGCTTAATATTTTGCTAAATCTTTGCTTTGATGTTATTTTTTTGGGCCCAACTTTGTTTTATCACACTTAGGCGTGCATATATAACGATTCAAAGTGACTTTCACTTCACGGCATTATTTAAGTATAAAAGGTGGAAACTTTTATRAGACATTTTTAGTCGTTCTGAAAGTGCGCACGCCATATACAAGGAGGAGAGGAAATCCATTAATTGATCGTTTTCACTCATTGCCATGAGATTCAAAAGATATAGACCGGCGGCCATGTTGGAGGAATGAACAATAGATACCTACTGAGAAATTCTTTGTCAAAGTTCCTCCAAGATGGCCGCGGGGACGTAACCTGAAAACTAAGAATACCTCGAAGGGCGTTCAGGACAGACCTATCATTTCACAATTGACCTCATTCAGMCAAAATAATCTTCGTATTGACTCGAGAACAAGACGATTAACCCWGATTCACACGCTATTCGTATCCGTTACCGAGGTCAAACGGCTTTAAACATCTTGAAAGCTTTAAATATGCTTGACCTTAGCATCATATCTGTTAAATGGTTTTGGAAATTTTGAAGTGACGCTCTCAACCKTGAGAAAACGTTTTGGATAAACATATTTTTGAAGTAGAATCGTTTTCATTTGACTGTGAAATAAAAATCACCAGAGCTAATGGGAAAGAAAAAAATGAAAGAAAGGAATCAGTCTGTTTTTCTTTTTTTTTTTATCGTCTGTGATTTACATTGAAGTCGGCACATGTGACATTGGTCGTCGGAAACGCGACTTATTTCGAATTCTTAACTCAAATTAAAGTGGCATAAAATTTTCAAACCATCAAATTCTTGAAAAATATAATAAAATATAAATAAAAATCTATGGTAAAATTTCAGTTCTTTAGAATACGTTCTGATAAACTTTGTCTGTCTTGAATGTTTCCATTGAAATCCATGTAAATGAGCCATCTTGAACTACACAACAGTAAAATTYGACGTTTTAACAGTTGAAGACAGTGTAAAACCAACACTAGAACAAACCTTGAAAATATTTAGTCATGTGCAATGACGCTCAGTGTTCTTCATTAAAATCYATCTTGAACTCAACTACAATAAAATTCGACGTCTTGACGCTTGAACCAACAAAACTTTATATGATTAGTCTCAGGTAAAAAAACATTTTGTTCAATAACGTCCAATGTTTTTGCTGGGATCATTTTCATAATCGCAGTTATATAGAATCTATAAGGCATTAATCTGTATTTTTCACTGATCTAGTCAGATTATGTGAACTTCGATATCGCCATTTTGACTATTTCTCTTTCTGTATTTCTTTTTCTTCTTCACTCATCTTTCTTTTTCAGAAATTAGCACTTAAAGTGTTTAATCTTTCTGTTTTTTCTTTGATTTTCTTTTCTATATGGAGTCTGATATCTGTTCATTCTATTTTCAATCACACAATTCCATTTGAACCTC